TGAACATTGATATTTCTGTAATAGAGTATACTTATGAATAAAGAGAGAGTTCAGGTTTTTAAGGTCAATGAGAATGCAACCCAAACGACTAACAAAAACCAACAGACATAATTTCTGATTAGACTTGACTATCTAACCGCTATCTCTGGCCATAAAAGAGGGACGAAAGATACCAGAGGTACTCATAAGTTGCCCACTTTTTTATAGTTCTTAGGCTAAAGCTGATTAACTTTTACTAAATTATTTCAATGAGATATCTTAAAGAAGGAAATGGAAATGTATATATATAAATATATCTTTGACCTTATTATTTTTATACAGTAGACTACCCATGTTAATGCTTTGTCATTATCATTTGGTTGATGTTTCAGACCACCATATACAGGTTTACAGGGTACACAAATAAGGCGCTGTTACTATTAACACTTCCTCCTGGAAGTGATCCCATCAATTTAACAGTGGTTATCTCATTTTCCAACATCCAAAATTGGACCACTTTGGTAAAATTACTATTTGAATTCACCCTCTTGAGGTAAACTCATTTAGTATATGTTTCAAATTTAAAAAGCTTATTTATCTGAAATTAAATGTGGATATATATTGAGCTTGCTAAATAAAATTAGTCGTGTTTAACTGTGACTTTATGCAATTTAATTTATGTTGAAAAGTAGCTAATGTAAAAATACACAAAAAAGGACTGCAATCCATGACGATGCAAGGACAGCCGAAAAATAACTCTTCCAACAATTAACATGACAGAATCAAAGTCAGTAACCAAACTGATTTAGCTATTTTTGAACACAATCAAATGTTTTATTATACCTACACAATCATATGATTACTATAAATACATAACAGAAACAAAAGATAAATATTTCAAACTTTCACGAAATGCACTTCTTTAAAACTGAGTTTTACTGTGTGTTTATTTATTCTACATTGTCTAGAGAAACTAGGGGAGAGTTGAGTTCTAACACAACATGTTTTACCCCTGCCAAATTATTCCACCTCTCCCAAGTCAGGAGCCTCTAGCCTTTGTCTGTCTTGTTTTTCGGATTATGCGTCTGTTCGTTCGTCTAATCGTCCATCTGTCCCGCTTCAGATTAAAGTTTTTGATAAAGTTTTTGGTCAAGGTAGTTTTTGATTAAGTTGAAGTTCAATCAACTTGAAACTTGGTACACATGTTCTCTACGATATGATCTTTCCAATTTTAATGCCAAATTAGAGTAGTGATCCCAATTTCATGGTCCACTGATTAGACATAAGAAGATGAGGTATGAGTGCCAATGAGACAATTCTACATCCAAGTCACAATTTGTCAAAGTAAACCATTATAGTTTAAAGTACTGTCTTCAACACAGAGCCTTGGCTAACACCGAACAGCAAGCTATACAGGGATCCAAAAAATACTAGTGTAAAACCTTTCAAAACATAGAAATGTTAGTGCAGATGGGGCATCCGTGTACTATGGACGCATACTTGATTTGCAATTAGTTTGTAAAAACAAAATATTTCACACAATAAATAAACTATAATTGATTTCGAATACAAGAGGAATACATATGCATATCAACATTAGATTATACAGTCTGTCTATAAAGATCCTATGTTAAAAGTTTTAACCATGAATAACCGAGCTTTTTATTTCCATTTTCACAATTTTTCTACAAATCACATTTTACACAAGAATCACATTTTTTTTTAAATACTAATAGCCATTGGACTTCTTAAGATAAACATCAGGTAGTATTTTCTATTTAGATCCCAATTAGAAAGTTTTAACCATCAATAACGAGATTTTTTTCATTTCCGGTTTTCAGGTTTTCTGTCTTAAAACATTTTTTCAACCAAAATTACCCAAATATAAATATTGATAGATAAAGGACTTCACAAAATATACATAAGATAGTATGTTTCTTTTTTCTATATAGATCAAATTTCCAAAATGTTAACCATTTACAACAGAGATTTTCTACGTTTCCAGTTTTCAACCTTTTTTCACTAAAAATCACTTATTTAACCTCAAAATTACTTCAATATGAATAATAATGACAAGAGGACTACATAATAGTCTATTAAGATAAGGTTTCCAGTCGTCAACAAGTGTTAGGTCCATAAATGTTACCATAAATAACAATTTTTCCTCTTTTCCAGTTTTCAGCATTTTTTCTCTAAAAACCACATTTTTTACCCCAAAATAACCTTTTCCGCAAATCATATCAATGTGTAGTTTTAGTATGTTGTTTGTACAAGTCTATATTTTGATTTGCACTCAAAAAACCTTGTGTTGCAATTAGTTGGAGGTTGAGTGATTTTAGAGCTAAATTGACTAGGCTATTAGAATCCCATAAGGGGCGGGATCAAGACATGGGCATTGAAACTATACATTTTTATTTTATATAACCTTGAAAGATTTTTCGAACAAATTAAATTTTACGGACACAAATGATATCGGATATGTTCTTTACTTACTACAATCCCCTTCCCTTTCATGAATGTGACCTACCGAATTAGACTATTTACCGGATTTGTTATCACATAACAACACGACGGGTGCCACATGTGGAGCAGGATCTGCTTACCCTTCCGGAGCACCTGAGATCACCCCTAGTTTTTGGTGGGGTTCGTGTTGCTTATTCTTTAGTTTTCTATGTTGTGTCATGTGTACTATTGTTTGTATGTTTTCTCTTTTTCATTTTTAGCCATGGCATTGTCAGTTTATTTTCGATTTATGAGTTTGACTGTCCCTCTGGTATCTTTCGTCCCTCTTTTAAAGTATAAATAAATACATAAAATGCTACAGATATTTTGTAAAATAACTAGTTACTGCCATCTCGTTAAAATTACTTACTTACAAGCAACGATTGATTGATTGTTGGTTGCTTTACGTCCAGTGGCAAATATTTCATGCATATTCAGGACGAGAACAAATTAACAATAAATACAATAGGTAGGTTCTGTAATAGGGGCGTCCGGGATTTAAGTCAAAGAAATTTAGACTGCCACGGGAAATGAGGGTATATTGGATAGAGACAGAAATTTAGCCTTGCAACAGGTCACCTACGGACCTCTCAAAGAGTTGTTGCAAGAGTTATTAACGTGCAAAGAGCGTGGCACTCTCTTTACAAGAGGCATCGGATTTAACGTCCCCATTCTGACCGGACGTGGCTGCAAATTTGTACATCCCGCACAGCCAAACGGACGCCCCACTTTAGCAAGGGTTTTACTGCCGGTCGGAGGAAGACCAATGGTGACCATACTTCTATTCCCCAGTCACCCTTGGGGAGTACAAGCAACGACAAATGTATTTACACATAGAGGTAAAATAAATAGTCGACTCGTTGCAAGTACATGCACACCACTCAATTAATACAAGTAGCTCTTCTAAGTAATCCTGCTGTAAATTACAACAACACCGGTATCAAATGAATTAGTTTGAAAATTATAAACATTGCGTCGTAATTATTAATGAATTTATGTCGATGCACAACTGTTAACAATTATTCACCAGGGACATAAAAGGTTTTCTGGAATGTGTGGAGAAAAAATAATATGACTCATCACCGAAAAGAAAAAATAGTTTGTTTAGAAAAATTGCAATAAAAAAACCGAATTGTTGCCGAATTAAATTTTGGAATAAATCTGTTAAGAGTAAGTAGGGACAAGACATCCACCGAGAGTCCACTACGGACGAAACTAATGTTTTCTTTACAATATGCACGATTGTTCAGGATGATCGCTTGTCATGTTTTGGAATTTTTGTCAGATTTCCAGAAACCTGTGAGAACTTAAACTTGTAAATGATAAAGCTATGAAAAATCAAGCGAGATCATTTTCCCGCCACAATTTCAATGTCAAATGTCTCGAAAACAAGCACATTGACCTATATATATTTTTTGCTCTTTTGATTCCTGTATTAATTCCCTATCAATATATACTAGTGTTTTGAAAAGTTTTTAAACTGAAGAGCGAACTAACTCCCTTAACGCCAATCTTTTCTCAGTGCAGCTAAATGAGTCATCAGCAATATGCACAAATGTGTTATACATTCATATGTAATCATTTTCCCAAATTCTTTGAATGTAAATTTTACTCATTGACTTTCCATCCTACCCTTTATATGTTTCGGCCCTCGTATGAATTTCAGATGATCTCGTTCATGCCACGTTTACATTACTAATCCAAATAATTACTCCGCCTTGAAATACATTGTAATTTACGGAGGAAGGCGTCATAGCTAAAATTCGTCATAATTATTGGGTCCCCAAGGGTGACTGGGTAATTGAAATATGGTCACTTGGTCTTCTCCCGACCGGCAGTAAAACGCTTGCCGAAGTGGGGCGTCCGTTTGGCTGTGCGGGATGAATCAAGTTCACAGTCACGTCCGGTCAGAATGGGGACGTTAAATCCGATGCCTCGTGTTGCACGTTAAGAACCCTTGCTACAACTCTTTGAGGGGTCCGTAGGTGGCCTGTTGTAAGGCAAAATTGCTGTCCAATCCAATATACCCTCAACTTCCAGTGGCAGTCCAAATTTCCCCGACCATTATCCTTAATGGCCTCTATTATGACAAGACCTACCTATTGTATTTATTGTGAACTTGTTCTCGTCCTGAATATGCATGCAATATTTGCCACTGGACGTTAAGCAACCAACAATCAATCAATCATAATTTTTGGACTAATATATAACCAAACTAGTAATTAAAATAATCGTAGACGGTCGGTTGATTTAATAATGCCACAAAATGGTTCATTTCATCTTATTAAACAAAAGTAATGTATGCAATAGCCAACAAAGTTGGTACAAAAGCCAAAATTATCTTTTGGCATGACACCCTCGCCTTAAAAAAGTTGAGAAGATATATGATTACGGTCTGTCTTTAGTTGTGCAAATGCAAATGAATTGAGGATAAAAAAAATATTAATTCAACGCATTGTTGAATTGTATTTTATTTCCGCTTTTTACCATTTGTTTGATTGGGAATAAATCGGATAAGTTGTGGTTGTATTACTTGTGGACAGATAAGCTGTGGTTGGATAAGTTGTGTTGTATTACTTGTGAACGGATAAGCTGTGGTTGGATAAGTTGTGTTGTATTACTTGTGGACGGATAAGCTGTGGTTGGATAAGTTGTGGTTGTTTTACTTGTGGACAGATAAGCTGTGGTTGGATAAGTTGTGGTTGTTTTACTTGTGGACGGATAAGCTGTGGTTGGATACGTTGTGGTTGGATAAGTTGTGGTTGTATTACTTGTGGACGGATAAGCTGTGGTTGGATAAGTTGTGGTTGTTTTACTTGTGGACGGATAAGCTGTGGTTGGATAAGTTGTGGTTGTATTACTTGTGGACAAATAAGCTGTGGTTGGATAAGTTGTGGTTGTTTTAATTGTGGACGGATAAGCTGTGGTTGGATAAGTTGTGGTTGTATTACTTGTGGACGGATAAGCTGTGGTTGGATAAGTTGTGGTTGTTTTACTTGTGGACGGATAAGCTGTGGTTGGATAAGTTGTGGTTGTTTTACTTGTGGACGGATAAGCTGTGGTTGGATAAGTTGTGGTTGTATTACTTGTGGACAGATAAGCTGTGGTTGGATAAGTTGTGGTTGTTTTACTTGTGGACGGATAAGCTGTGGTTGGATAAGTTGTGGTTGTATTACTTGTGGACGGATAAGCTGTGGTTGGATAAGTTGTGGTTGTATTACTTGTGGACGGATAAGCTGTGGTTGGATAATTTGTGTTGTATTACTTGTGGACGGATAAGCTGTGGTTGGATAAGTTGTGGTTGTATTACTTGTGGTTGGATAAGTTGTGGTTGTATTACTTGTGGACGGATAAGCTGTGGTTAGATAATTTGTTGGTTGGATACGTTGTGGTTGGATAAGTTGTGGTTGTATTACTGAATATGCATGCAATATTTGCCACTGGACGTTAAGCAACCAACAATCAATCAATCATAATTTTTGGACTAATATATAACTAAACTAGTAATTAAAATAATCGTAGACGGTCGGTTGATTTAATAATGCCACAAAATGGTTCATTTCATCTTATTAAACAAAAGTAATGTATGCAATAGCCAACAAAGTTGGTACAAAAGCCAAAATTATCTTTTGGCATGACACCCTCGCCTTAAAAAAGTTGAGAAGATATATGATTACGGTCTGTCTTTAGTTGTGCAAATGCAAATGAATTGAGGATAAAAAAAATATTAATTCAACGCATTGTTGAATTGTATTTTATTTCCGCTTTTTACCATTTGTTTGATTGGGAATAAATCGGATAAGTTGTGGTTGTATTACTTGTGGACAGATAAGCTGTGGTTGGATAAGTTGTGTTGTATTACTTGTGAACGGATAAGCTGTGGTTGGATAAGTTGTGTTGTATTACTTGTGGACGGATAAGCTGTGGTTGGATAAGTTGTGGTTGTTTTACTTGTGGACAGATAAGCTGTGGTTGGATAAGTTGTGGTTGTTCTACTTGTGGACGGATAAGCTGTGGTTGGATACGTTGTGGTTGAATAAGTTGTGGTTGTATTACTTGTGAACGGATAAGCTGTGATTGGATAAGTTGTGTTGTATTACTTGTGGACGGATAAGCTGTGGTTGGATAATTTGTGTTGTATTACTTGTGGACGGATAAGCTGTGATTGGATAAGTTGTGTTGTATTACTTGTGGACAGATAAGCTGTGGTTGGATAAGTTGTGGTTGTTTTACTTGTGGACAGATAAGCTGTGGTTGGATAAGTTGTGGTTGTTTTACTTGTGGACGGATAAGCTGTGGTTGGATACGTTGTGGTTGGATAAGTGGTGGTTGTATTACTTGTGAACGGATAAGCTGTGATTGGATAAGTTGTGTTGTATTACTTGTGGACGGATAAGCTGTGGTTGGATAAGTTGTGTTGTATTACTTGTGGACGGATAAGCTGTGATTGGATAAGTTGTGTTGTATTACTTGTGGACAGATAAGCTGTGGTTGGATAAGTTGTGGTTGTATTACTTGTGGACTGATAAGCTGTGGTTGGATAATTTGTGTTGTATTACTTGTGGAAAATACGCTGTGTTGTATTAATTGTAATATCACTAGGTGGATGGATGAGTGGTGGTTAGATAAGTTGTTGTTGTAAAGTTCTCAAATGGTGCTGAAAGATTATATATATCTACTCCAGTGTGAATGATGTTTCTCTTTTTTTTTATGGCAGAGAGAGTTTTAGAAATTTTTTTTTATATTTTTCTGTTAAAAAGCAAATTACTTTTTTACAGTACGTAGTTTAAATCAGGTCTTACAATTATTTTAGCATGTATGCACATGTACACATAATTAGCTTAATAATAAACATTTACCATGTATGTATATTATCATCATTACAAAGTCTAGACTAAACTTTCTGTAACTGAAATAAGGAAAATAATTGATATCTTGACAAATTGATATACCAATTTTGTAATATCATTTTTAACTTTAGCACATTATTATATAACATATCTTTAAATTAATGATCCACATTTTTATCTGTAAAACAGTTTTTAAAATGTTCAGTTACAGAAACAAATTTGAGTTATCTCCCATTGTATGTAATACATTTTTTTATGTTAAAGTACATGTTGCAAATTAACATTATATTACCTTTTGTGCTTTTTTTCTATAAATATGATCAGGGTATGGTTTACTTTTAAATTTAGCCTTTATATTGATCACATTATGTCATACAAATGAAGTACTCTTAGCTTGTTGGAATATCATTGGTTTTAAACACAAGGGATACATAAAAAATATTTTTCATCTATAATTAAATAGACATAGAAAAATCCAACAGCACGAGTTTGCTTAATCTATTTATATCTATGTTTTTGTTTACATCGCGTATATGGTCATCGGAGGACTTAAGAGGTCAACTCGATGGTTAATTAGATGGCGTATAGACTAAAAAACACACGAATCGAAGCTACGTAATTTCATACCAGTGCCCTGTTAATTGTTTAATTTAGACTTTTGATAGTTTGGATAAATCCTGGTATCTATGATGAGTTTATTTACAACCACTGGGTCGATGTCACTGCTGGTGGAGATTTTGTGTCCCCGAGGGTATCACCAGCCCAGTAGTCAGCATTTTTGTGTTGACCTGAGTTATCATTGATATGTTCATAATAATAAATTAACTGTTAACAAAACTTTGAAATTTTGAAATACTAAGGCTTTCTTACCTCAGGAATAGATTACCTTAGCTGTATTTGGCAAAACTTTTAGGAATTTTTGGTCCTCAATGCTCTTCAACTTCGTACTTTATGTGGCCTTTTAAACATATTTTGATTCGAGCGTCACTGATGAGTCTTTTGTAGACGAAACGCGTGTCTGGCGTATATATAAAATATTAATCCTGGTATCTATGATGAGTTTATATTCAATATAAAGCTCTTACCAACCTTAAAGAAAATCGACCAACTGGAAACGCAGTAGTACGGATGGACTTTGCAGAAAATTTCTCGTGCTGTTCCGTAGATGAATAATAAAGCGCATACTGGAATTCCAGCTCGGTTACATTACACCCAGTGGTTGTGTATTACAAAGATGGCAACGACAACATGACACACACTAATTTTAAATAAACTCCTCATAGATACCAGGATTGATTTTTTTATATTCCCGCCAGACGCGCTTTTCGTCTACAAAAGACCATTAGTGACGCTCGAATAAAAAAATATATATTTGGTATCTGTTGACCTCAATCGCAATATATAAAACCGTATACACAATCTTACAAAAGTTAACGCCCAAGATAAAACAAAATATCAAGGAGCTTAAGAAAATACATTATTGGACTGACAGTCCTAGCTCACAGTATCACAAGAAAAAAAAGCCACGGTAAATATCCGTGTGACGGGATAGGAGGAAAGTTTAAGCGGATAGCAGACCAGGCTATAATACAGGGTAAAATAGTTGTCCAGGACACCCGCGAGTGCTGTGAACATGTACAGGTCCATCACACAAGTGCAACTTATATTTTTGTGGAATCAACAGACTGTGTAAAATCAAGATTAGAACTTACCGATATAAATAAGACTTTGCAACCAGTGCAAGAAGCAATGCAAATCCAGTGTTGTTGGTAATAACACGGATAAGATAAAGACTTGTATCACATCCTGCTTTTGAAACGATTGTCTTTTATGAAATCCCAGATTAGATTGATTGTTGGTTGCTTAACGTCCAGTGGTAAATATATCATGCATGTTCAGGACGAAAACAAGTTAACAATAAATACAATGGGTAGGTCTTGTCATAAAGGCCATCCGTGATGATGGTCGGGGAAATTTAGAATAAAACTTCTTGTTCTTCCTGTGCAACACATATAAGTTTTTAACGACCTTGACTGGCTATACAGCCGTTGCACGTTCGGTATGTATTATTCATGTACAACAAATGGACATTTTTAACGACCTTGACCGACTAAACAATTCTTCATGATGATGATGAAAGTGTTTAACGACCTTAAATGGCTTTCCAGCCCTCGCACGGTCGGCTTATTGTTCATGATGATGGAAGTGTTTAACGACCTAGACTGGCTATACAGCCCTCGTACGGTCGGCTCGATGTCCGAATGCGTTTGGTGAGCTGTAACATATTTTCTGCGGTGGCTCAGGAACAAGTGAGGACACCTTTATAGGTATGCCGCCATCTTGGTTTTGTGAGTTGTATTGGTTTAGTATGTTGACTATTTTGATTCCATATTGTTCACACGCCTGCTTTCAGGGCCAGTTTGGTCAGCTTGGCAGCCCGCTAAACACGATGATGAAGTACTGATCAATGAGTCTCGGACGTAATAATAACGATGACAGGAAGCATTATCAGGACCAAAGTCGCGAGACAGTGAAATGAAGGTCTATTATTCAACACATCGGATACAGCCCTTGGACGTCAGTCGGCATAGCACTCCCCCAAAATGGGTTTCGGAGTGGATGCTGACGCGGGTTACGCGGATAATGCCTAACGTAATCTGACTATGTACAGCGTTGGATTGGTTTCTGTCATCGAAAGTAGTAAGTCGTTGATCAGTAAACCCTCATCGAAGATAGCGGGTAGAGGAGAGATGAACCTGTACTTCCGTTCAGCTGTAATAACTGAGACGTGACTTTTTGTTCTTCTCGTCTCCGTATGGGCCTCCTTTAATTAGGAGCACCACCATGAGTTATGGCGTATTAAGGAGGACACTTGAGGCCTGTATGGGTACAGATTAATGTGAGCATTTGCCTACCCAATTCCAAACCTGGCCGTTACGGGTCTTATTACCAGAAAGTAAACCTTCCCCAAACATAATTCATTATTATAAAATAAACATACTAAACTCACATACTCACTTGATTCGCTCAGTCCTCAAAGTATAAAAGAGTGCAAAACTATACGACTCTAAATGATTCTTCATGTACAGGTTCTGGACTGTATTTAAGATTGATTGATTGATTGTTGGTTGCTTAACGTCCAGTGGCAAATATTTCATGCATGTTCAGGACGAGAACAAGTTAACAATACATACAATAGGTAGGTCCTGTAATAGAGGCCGTCCGGGATGAAGGTCGGGAAAATTTTGACTGCCACGGGAAAATGAGGGTATATTGGATAAGGACAGAAATTTAGCCTTGCAACAGGCCACCTACGGGCCCCTCATAGAGTTGTTGCAAGGGTTCTTAACGTGCAAAGAGCGTGGCACTCTCTTTACACGAGGCATCGGATTTTACGTCCCCATTCTGACCGGACGTGACTGCGAACTTGTACATCCCGCACAGCCAAACGGACGCCCCACTTTAGCGAGGGTTTTACCGCCGGTCGGAGGAAGACCAATGGTGACCATATTTCTATTCCCCCAGTCACCCTTGGGGGCTGTATTTAAGAAGAAACGAAATAATTTTGATGTTCATAGTTATTGTTTATAATAGATATACATAATAATGTGTGTATGCTACATGCCCTCCTGTGGCTCTAATTTGGTAAATAAAAATATTGTTTTCTATTGTATTCTATTCATAGTACGAAGAAGTGAAAATAAACTTCAATTTAAACCTAAGACATTTTAAAGTTCAGCTGAAACCTAGGGAATTTTAAGGTTCTGTTAAAACTTGGAGAATTTATAATTAAATATAATTTAAAATTCGTCATTTGTATCGGATGAAAGAATGTTAGACAGCAAGTCACTTGACATTAAGTGATATATATTTTTTGCACGTCACACAGGTAATGGAAAATAAATTTGTCGTTAATAGTATAAAGAGGTGCAGTTATACGGTCAATGTATTATCCAAATTGTAATCTAGGGTTGTGGATTTTTCTACTTGAACACAGTAGTAATTGATATTATACGGATCGAACTCGATCTACAATAACATATATGTACTTACTGAATTCATTGATGGCAAGTACTTGGCCTCTCTGAGTCACACAAGTAGATCCTTCAACTAATTTGCGGTGTGTCTGTGACTTTCTGTCCTACATTCTGTAGAAATACCTCAAAAGACTTCTTAGTGCACTAAGGACATTAAAGCGATGTCATAAGACCACAATGAACATGGATATATATATATAAAGATATAGGCATATAACTTATAAATATATAAATTTGAAATTAAATGACTTTTTAAACAGCGCCTGCAATGCGGCACGTGACCGAAGGCTTATTGCAAATACCCAATCATCATGTTCAATCAACCTTATCCATTAAACAAATTTTTTTTTATCGTTACCAGTTACTAATTGATAAGTTAATGATAGTTGTAGAATAAACTTAATGGTTTAGCGTATTATATTTCCAACTTATCAGATGAAAGGATAATTA